TAATTTTGGATCACAGTTGTGACCATATATTTAGTAGAGAGCTGCATGAGAACAATCACTATAACGCTACCCTGTTGATATTCAGCTACGTTACATTTTTCACATTACTGCTTACACATTTCTTCTGCTCATTAAAGTCAATTCTGAGTGTAGAATAATTATTTTCTTTTTGTACAACAGGTATCAGGCACATGTTCTGGCAATGCAGCACTGTGAGATGCCTCAACATGATCAGAGGAAAATGCCAAGCACTCTAAGCCTTTTCTTTCTGTGTATTGAAAAACGTGACTAATTTGTCATTTTGACTGCTATTTTGGCAAGAATGGACACATCACCCTACCATATAATAAGCAATAATCCTGATAGGAATATTCATGTGGAAGGATCCCATCAAGCTGGGATTTGACACCTGTTCTTTCACCTGCATGGGCCTCATTAAAGTGACTGAGATCTAAGCAGCAAAGTGTTTCTTGTTTTAGAGGGAATTAGGGATTTGCTCATTGTCGTGCTGATGACGAGTGTCTGCCAATGGGATCTAGAGGCTCATCAGAGGCTGCACACACAGTCTCTGTGGAAAAGGTTAATATCTATGAATTAAATTAACCTACAAGCCAGATTAGGCTTGATTGGGATGGTTATACTGTTTCACAGCTAAATCACGTTGAACATGGAGCAGTGCTGAAAAACTAAATTCAGAGCTGAAAATGAAGCAATTTCTGTTAATGAGCAAAATATACATTATGTTATGCTATCCTACCAGGCATGTGTATTTGTGGGCTGGAGTCAGAAGATCAATGATAAGATCAGACGCAATTTACTCTACTTCAATACACTCACACATAAATTTGTCAGAATGGGCATGCAGCCATATCAGCCTGCAGGCACACACGCACAGCCGTTCATCTGAACTCACAGGCATCAGGATACATGCTAAGTAAGATCCTGTTTCAGGTACTGGCCTCCACCCATCTCTAGGATGCACCGCTTTAGGCCGCACCATACCAGGATGTCACAGTCTGTCACCCAAACGGCAAGTGAGGCATTACAACAAAAACAAACACAAACCGCACCAGAAGACATGGCATGAGTCTCAAGCCCTTCACTGAATACATGATAAGCAACTGAGCACCAGCCCAGAGCTAAAATGAAGAGCTAGAAACAATACCTGATCAAACTATGTTAAAATCCTAAAGAATCTGGGTGGAATTTTAAAAAGAACTGGGCTATGTGACAATATTTATCGTTATCATGATAAATTACATCATGTCACAATATGCTCTTCTGAGCATATCGTGGATATCATCAGTGCTTCAAAACACTTCCCAACTGCATATTTGCTAAGAGAGCATAGTTAGTCCTGTTTAATTAGATTTAGTGCAGCACAGCATGTGAAATGTTAAAAACAAGTCACTGGATTCATAGTTTCTGATGGTATTTTTAAAATGTGCCACTACTTTGTCTGTTCTAAACATTGTGACATTGTGTGTCATAAAAGACTTTCCGAAGTATAGGAATATTACATTTTGTCATATCAGTCACCTCTAATTATACATATGATGTATCCAAACTAAAGACCAGTATATTCGGGAATTGTGTGCCAATGCCAATGCCCCCATATTTTTCATATCTGTCGATGCTGAAACTGATCTGGAAACATTTGGTAAGTACAGCAATCTGGGCTACCTTAATCTATTCTGGGACCTACCTGGATTAACATTACAATGAAATATGACAATTATTTGTAAAGAGCTACAAATGCAGTAAAATAAATAAAATGCAGATATTTTAGCCCAGTGCGCCTAAACCTACTGCTCTTCCAGAGTACAACAAATACATCAAATATCAGTCTGAAATATCAGTGAATTTAAACATCTGTCTAATGCCATTGTTTGTTGTTGTTTTTTTTCAAAGCAAACATCTAATGTTCCCATATAGCAATTCCGATATCATTGTACAGCCCTGACTTAGACACTTTTCTCATTTAACCATTGAACTATTATGAATTAACCAAAAGAACTTCATTAATGTTTAACAAAATGATATATGTTAAAGAGAAAAACACCTTTAGCACAACATCAAACAGGTACTCTTTGAATGGAGAAAGAACTCCAACTAGACTGCATTACGGGTGCTATAAAGCACAGAGAAGGAAACATCAAAGTCTGAGGCTGTCTGTCTTTCAATGGTGTTGGTGAGCTTGTGTTTATTGATGGAATCACAAACTCAGAAGTGTATGAAGACGTTCTGAATGCAAACCTGCAGAAGTCTGCGACGACATTACTCATACGGTAACCATCTGAAAAACAACAGCGACCTATTAAAAGAACACTTTGCCAAAAAGAAAATTACAGTATTGGAATAGTCTGTATAACATAAAAGCTACTTCGTTTTAAAATTTTGTTTCACAACAACATTTTTAAATATGCACAACAATATACACATTTTAGGACCACTTCATATTATATTGAACGCTGATAAAATTTTTGCTTTGAATTTACATGATTCAGATGTGTCAGTAGGTTGCACATGAATGTAATATGTTACATCAACACAATTGGTGTCTTTCAGTTCACTTCTTTTTGGAAATGGCACACTACCAATATCAAAACCTAAAATTGGATATGTTTAACTGAAGCAGTTCACTTAAGATGAGCATGTAAGAGTGGACTATGATCAAAAAACTCAAACATTCAACTATCCTACAGGACGACACACAGCTAACATTTTATCACACAGTACGACTGACATTTTTCAGGACAGATTTGTTACAGGATCCATTGTTTTCCCTTCTGATATCTGATCCAGCATTTCATTTTCATTTCGGGCTGATACAGATACTTGGTACCACCACTGACAACTCTGCCTCTGTCGGAACCGCAATGATATGACATTCATATCCAACCAATAGACATTTTTTATCCATATATACAGTTTATCTTGGTAGTGTGCTTTTAGAGTAAAAAAAACACATTATAACATTAGGATAAATATAAATGAACATAAATACAGTAAAATGGACCAAACATTTCTTGTAATATTTTGAAAGAACCCAGGTTTGGTTTCTGACTTCTCGCTGCACTCTGGCCACTGCATTGATTTGTTCAACTCCATCAGCAGCACACCTGATTTTAATGAAAGACTATTTAGATAAAGTAAGTATTGGATGGTAACTGTAAATGCTGGGCCTCCTCAAGGAAAGGTTTGGAAGTAGATAAGGTAACACAATGACAGACATAAAATTACAATGGACTGTTTATTTGTGTTTTTTTTTTTCATTTATTCTAATTGTAGTACTTTTTAATAAATAAATGTTACTGCACAGATAAAAGTCTGCGTGTAATTTTCTCAGATGCTTTTTGAGAAAATTTCTGCACAGTACTGTATATTATCCACACTATTATCCATACTATGCACCAGTTAAATTAGATTGAAAATAGTGGCCTGTTTTTTATGTACTATGTTGGCATCTATCCTGTAGATAGCTTCTAGCCAACAAGTGTTTACCTTCCAGACTTCAATACCTTCAATGGGACATCATCAGTTGTCTCTCTTTAATAAGTACTCTTTTCTTACTAAATTGTTGTTTGTGTCATGTAGACAATCACTTCTAAATATTTCCAACCTTTTCCCTATAGATAAATACCTCTTTCTATAATGCCTTCATGGTTGATGTTGAACACTCAGCCGATGCACATTTAGCTCAAGTGGTGAGGATGCAACAATGTATTATTATTATTATTATTATTATTATTGGGATCAAAAACCAACAAATATTAAACACTACTGCCTAATACAATCAGTAACAAGACATTCAACAGCAATATGAAATGATGAGACTGCCCTCTAGTGCTCAAATTCTAGTTTGCTTTTTCTCATTCTGTCTTTATACTGTTTTTTCTGTCTAACGTGGGATTTATGAGGCTCTCAAATAGCATTTCAAGGCTATATTTAGCCCTTTTACTCACTGCCAATTACCTCATCATATCTCAATCATTACCTAGGACACTCCACCCCTGATCACACACATATTCAAGCACGTCTCCTCTTGCCTTATTCGTTGCAGATTTATCAATGGTTTACTGCAGTTAAAAGGAAGATAAAACAGAGCTGTAACTCATTAAAAAAACATGATGGCAATGACTTTTGCAGTCTTTTTAGGGTAGACTGAAAAATAGTTCAGACTAACATCCCTGACAACATTCACAAGTACACATTAAGGAATATTAATGCCATTTTGTTTATACATCCATACATATTGCACTGCCACTTTGTTCATACATCCATAAATATTACATATTGCACTGCCACTTTGTTCATACATCCATAAATATTACATATTGCACTGCCACTTTGTTCATACATCCATAAATATTACATATTGCACCGCCACTTTGTTCATACATCCATAAATATTACATATTGCACTGCCACTTGATTATACACCCATGCATATTCATGTCATTCACTGGACATCACTGCATTGTCAGCTGCATATTTATGCAATTTTACTTACTTATTTTCGTACTGTTTTCATTTTAGTATATTTTATTATATATCTTTCGCTGCTGTCGGAACAAAACCTTGTATCTCCATCTCCTATGTATTGTCATTTTTCAGTTTTTGACATAATTTCAAAAAATGCCCGTTGGCCTTTACATGTGTATAATTTTCATGACAAAGGAAGCAAAAGAAATGGTCTGAAATAACCTGGAAAAAAGTGTGTTTCCATTGACTTACATTAAAAGCATAATATATATGTATTCTAAAAGTATAATATAATATAATACCGTACAATACTTTTGCTCTTGTTTTGCTCTTTGCTTTACTTTGTGCTGCTGTAATAGACGACTTTCCCTCTGGGATTAATAAACTGATCTATCTATCTATCTATCTAAAGTAACATTTAGCTTGCAGTGCAAACAGCTTTAAACCAACAGCCCTGGGCTATCTTCAATATTTTCTTTAATAAGGGCAGGCTAGATAATGTGGCTTAAATTTACCTCTGTACATATCAACAAGGGAATCCTTTAGTTCTTGTTTGTGCTTCCATGGCACCTGACGGAGTTCCTCCTCACTCTCTGAGCAGCTCTCCCTGAATCGAAGAACAAAGTATTAAATACTCACTCACATTGTCTTCAGAATGCACCAAAGTTTGATGGTACTCATAAACTAGACTCTTACAAGTCTGGAAACAACCTGGTCATATGCCTGCAAGTCTGGGTCAGCCTAATCTCCTCAGCAATGTCCCCTCAGTTTGGGGCCGCACACTTTAGCTGAAATAGAGCTGATCCTTTATTTCTTCCTCTCTCTTTCAACAGTAACAACCAGGCAACTACCACATAAAGAATTAATATTTGGTTTACCTAAGTATATGAAATAGGATCATTTTGCTGTTGTCAGAAGAAAACCTCATATCTCCAAAATGGTAACTTTACAGGACAAGGAAAAAACATACTTTACTTTTAATGTAAGTCAATGGAACCAGACTTTTTTCCAAGTCATTTTTGGCTCTTTCTTTTGGTGCATTGTTCATGAAACATATACATAATGTAAAGGGCAACAGGCATTTCCAGATTATGTCAAAAAGTGAAAAACGACAAAAATGGAGATACAAGGTTTTCTTCCGACAACAGCGATTTTTGTGTTTGATGAATGACAGGCAGGTGCATAGGCGTGTATTGGTCCTTGACGTTTACCAAAATAAAGTGAAGGGACTCAATAGTTATTAAAAAAAAGGCAAGCGTTTCTAATTCACTTCAGTTCTTCCTATGTGAAATTTAAGCTGTAAGTAGAAAACTGCACCACAGGGGTTAAGAAATAAACCAATGGGTCTTGATATGGTTTTAGTGGCTAGTTTTGAACATGCTGTGTACTGAAACAATCCAAAAACATCCCACAAAACAAAGCAACAGAGAAACAAACAGCAGGACGAAGCTAAAGTTGTCTTCCTATTCGAATTTTCTGTGCCACCTTAAATGGTGCAGCAGTTACATTCTTGCAACTGCTGCATTTAAGGTGGAACTGAAGCCAACTAAAGCCAGGGTTAACGTGTGAAAGGCACATTCATGAACATTAGATTTAAAAAATAATTATAATAGAGCGGGTGACCGATGTGTGCGTTTTATATGTTGTATACCCGGAGCTCTGTCTCCCTCTGTTTACAGCGATGAGGAAGACCCCGAGCAGCAGAAAGGCTAATCAACCGCACTTTTACAGTCAACACTAGCTAACTTACTCACCTCACACAGTACAGTTCATTCTCCAAGCTTGAGATTTTATGTTTCGCCCTTTGTACTGCGTTTTTAACGTCGTGTGCCATACTTCTCAAATTCATGTGTTAGAACTGCAGGACAACGCTGCTGCCTGACAGCAGGACTTTTCATGCAGCGTCTCCGTTTACACTTTACACGCAACTTGATACACAGGAGGGAAGACAAGAAACTCCTCACATGAGGAGCCAGCGACACACAAGCAGAGGAGAAAATGAACTTCGAAAGGCAAAAGTTAGGGATGTCAGTAGATTGCCATCTACCTGCTGCGAGGAAAAGTTAAAATAACGTGTTTTCCTGTGTGGAAACTCCGTTTTAGCAGGCCTGTTAGCGCACTAACTTAGCTTGCCTGCTAACCACAACAAAGATGCACTGTTCATGTTTTCGTTAACTAAGTTCAACTAACAAAGTTTCCTGTCACAATATATCTGTGAACAAACTATCCTGTTTATTAACTGAATGACAAAGTGAAGTCAGTAAAGGCTGTAGCGCTCATTAGCTTAGCCTACGACCAGCACGGCTTTGAAACTTACCATGGAAACCACCAAGAGAATGGCTGACTTTCTGTATCTACGCTACTTTCCTAAAAGTTACGAGAGCGACTTCCTACAGTACGACCCGGGACATGTTCCGTTTTAGAGCCAAAGGGAAACACTGGGGGAAGCGAAAGACAGAAAACTCCGTACACACTTTGTCCACTAGAGGACGCCAAACGACGGCAGTCCTAATCCCTTCATAACAATGAAGAGGCACTGGGGCTGAATCCCAAACCGCTCCTTGCTCCCTATGTACTGCACTACATAGGTCATGAAATAATGGCATCTACACCTAACGTTACACTGTGAACAATATGTGCTGTATGGGTCCCTCTGGGATCCACAAAGATTTCTGTTTCTGTTTTTTTCTTTTTAATACTTTTTTTTTTTTTACCTGTGTACCTGTATATATATATATATATATATATATATATATATAAACCTGTACATTTTCCTCCAAATGTCAATAAATCCCCATTTAGTTGTTGAAAAATGAATAACGCCATATACCAGCATCCCCACACTGTATGCTACTACTCTCAAAACAACTTGACTCCCACACTGGACAAAGCTTGTTAGTTTTCATGTGATATTTTGTGAGTTTGCCAGGTTTATGACATCAGTTCAGTGTGTACACTGTTAGCTTGTATGTAGCATTATTTGTAGTTTCATCCTTTACCAACCTCAAAATCAGAGGATCCGGTAATATTCGGGGGACTATACACAGGACAAAACATACTGAGTTTGGAAGATGTTTTGTTTACCAAAAACATCATTCAATTTTCCCATTAAATCTGCGTAGACCCCTGAGTTCTTAACTGCACATCTTAATGAAAGCATTAACATAACTAAAATACTACAGAAAGTTGAAGTTACTTAAGCTGAAAATTTCAAATAAACTCAAAATAAATTGTTGAACTAATAACTCAGTCTTTTGAGCAGTCTTTTTTCATATATTTTGAGTTAAGATAATTTTAATGTGTTACATTCATTATTTTCTTTAAGTTGACTTTACAAGCAAATACAAACAAGCCAACTGTTTTTAAAGATTGTTTAAAGTTTTGTGTGGCTGTATTGTTTCCCCTCTTCTAACTATATAGGTACACCTGACAGACTGTTTACTCTGTGTATTGGTCCTAGTTTTATTCTATCCGGTATTACCTGCATTAAGTGATGGATTGACGGATGGCCTCAGCACAAGCGGAACAGGTTCTGATGTTTTTAGCCAAAACATTAGCTAGATTGTAAAAATGTTTACATTTAAATGTTTTGGATTTCTTGTGCTTTTCTCAAAACCTTTTGACGATTTCAGACACTCAAATAGGATCTTTGAGTTGAATCAGCTTATTGCAATTTAGTTTAGTCTGTCAAGACTTCTCACTTTTTTTGATAAATGTTTAGTCAAAGCAACCTTCTAAGGTAAAACTCTCATCATTCCTATCAGCTCTTGGCACCAAATATATGCATACTGGGCGTGTCTTCCCACCTTGTATACCCTACCATCTGTGTGTTGTCATTCTCCCCAGCCTACCTTCCCTTGGGTACCTGTGTATTCTACATTTTCATAATTTCAGACAATGTTGATCAGTGTTGAACAATCTGAGTTATGATGCTCCCAGCTGTTGGGCGTGGTTCTGTAGTGGCTGGATACTGCAATAACTATATTTGTGTGTTATAATTATAGCCTAGTTTTTTTTAATGGAAGAAACTGAGTTAGTTCAACTAGAGTGGCAAGATTTGTGTAAAGGCAGTAAAGTTACTGTGACATAACTCTCGTATAGCACAACTACTTAACTGTATTGAGTTAGTACAACTATTACTTATTAGTCCAAAAACTTAATCATTCAGATCAGCAAAATGAATGGAGTTATTAAAATTTACTCAGTTTCCTTTAGCGTGTACAACAATAAACGTTTTTTTACACGTACTTCAGGAAATTATTTATTTACTTATTAGGTTTTACAGTGTATGGGCATGGTGCCGACTACAGACTGAAGCATGATTTCAGAGGTCTATGCGCACCCCTACGCAGCTTAAATCTCTGTAGAGCTTCTTTCTTATTATAGTTAATGGAAACGAAGCTTTAACATTACGGAGCACTGATCTAGCTGCTAGAAGCAGCATGTTCTGTCTCGTCTCTACTCTTAATTTCTGCTCCATTTTTCCTCAAGTGTCATTCAAATTGTACTAATGTTCTTTCCAGAATAAACTGTTAGGATAATAAAACTGGTTTAGCTCAGTTTAAAAGGCAATTCCACCTATTGTTCTAAATTTCAGGCTAAGTCAATCATGGAGATCTACAATGCAAGCATACTTTAGATTTTTTGTAAAAAAATGTCTCAGGCATCAGGCAGTGTAATGTAACCAATCACGTAATAGCTTTCTGTGAGGGAGCTTTTAGAGGCATTGAACTCTTTAGACGTCTAGTTCCTATCACCACCACTGTGAACAATTCTGACTTGGTAAGTTTCTCTAGAACAGCGTATTTCATATCAAACCACTCTGAATGACTTCATTTACATCTTATTGATTTTATTATGCAGAAACTTTGAAAAATCAGTGGAATTCCCTTTTAATAGCAGCATTTTGGCCTTTTCCCACAGTGTAAAAATGTCGGTTCAGCCTAAAAAATTACTTCATGTGGCAAAAAGCAATTGAATTAACATTATTCAATCTAAATAAATACTTGAATGAACGATTTCTTTGGATCAAAGTTTTTTTTAGTTGAATAAAACCAGTTTAATTGCTTGTTGCTTACATGACGTAATTTTTTAGATTGAACTGACAGGTGATTTTTACAGTGTAACAATCCCCCTAGCACCACCCCCTTTCCCAAAAAAGCTGGAATGCTGTGCAAAATGTAAAAAAAAAAAAACAAAAACAAAAAAAAACACCTAGTGGTTAACTGGAAATAGGTCAGTAACATGACGAAAAAAAGCATCCCTGAGACACTGAGTCTTTCAGAAATACCATAGCAAAGAACTTGGGAATTTCATCCTATACGGTATATAATATCCTTAAAAGATTCAGAGAATCTAGAGAAATCTCTGTATGCCTGGGACAAGGCCGAAAAACAATATTGGCTGGCTGAGATCTTTGGGCCCTCAGGCGGCACCGCATTAAAAACGCACTCGATTCTGCAGTGAAAATCACTGCAAGTGCTCAAGTACACTTCCAAAAACCACTCACAATTCATCACTGCAATGACAAATGCAAGTTAAACCTCTACCATGCAAAGAAGAAACCATATATAAAGGGGATCCAGAAATGCTACCGCCAGCTCTGGACCCAAGCTCATTTAAAATGGACTGAGGAAAAGTGTCCTGTGGTCCAAGAAATGAAGATTTGAAACTTTTTGGAAATCATGGTCACTGTGTCCTCTGGGCTAAAGGATTGTTGTCAGCGCATGGCTCAAAAGCCAGCATTGGTGATGTTATGGGGGTGCATTAGTGCACATGGCATGGGTGACTTGCCATTTGACATTTAACACAAGACTGCAACAGACAACAGTGTAGACAGACAAAACATACAGACAAACTATACTAACACTATACAATAAATTCTTCTCTGAATGTACAATAACTACAACCATATAACAATTGAACATAGGACAACAGAGGAAAATAGACCAGCTGTTGGTCCACAGCAGCAATAGTAAATAATAGTGCATGTACTGTTTATCAATACACTTATAATTAACAATAGTTTTTTAGCAATGCAACCACAAACATGTGTACAGATTAAATTGAATGTGCACATAAAGTGAGTGAAGGTAAAGTTTCACAGTAAAGTGGCTGATTGCGGAGGTTGAAGTGCAACAGATAGTAGCGTGGCCGAGGTAGCAGTTCAGTGAAAATGTCCATCAGGTAGATATGTTCAGCAGTCTGACTGCCTGCGGAAAGAAACTGTTTGTGAGTCTGGAAAACTTGGCATTGATGCTCTGTAATCTGGGATGATGCTGCTTGGTTTGAAACATGTTGGGACAGAAGCCCTGTTCCAGGAAGAAGTTGAAGACATCTGTGAAGACAGCAGCCAGCTGCATACGCACAGGAATGTTGTCAGGCCTGCAGTTTTACATGGGTTCACCCTCAGAGGGGTTCTCCTCACATCAGCTCCACTCACAGACAGAACCTGGTCACTTGGGGAAGCAAGATCCTCACTGCTGCCTCAAAACTTCAAAACGAGCATAGAAGCTGTGTAAAGCATCCAGGAGGACAGTGTCGGTGATGCACGCAAGGTGATTCTTCCCCCTGTAGTCAATGGCAGTTTGAATGCCCTATTACATATGTCATGGGTCACTGGATGTGAAGTGTTCCTGTATTTTCAGAGCATATGAAGCACTGGCTCTCTTGATGCTCTCAGCATTGAGGCTGTTTCTAGCCACCCTGAGTGCTGCTCTATCACCCAATCTAAATGCAACACTGCAGGCCTTGAGCAAGGAAACAGACCTCAGTGTTCAGCCAGGGCTTCTGGTTTGGTGATTTTGTAGCAGTTCTTGGGATCACTACATTGTCCACACACTTGCTTATATAGCCAGTGACAGATAACGCATATTCATTCAAGTCTATGTGATCCCCACATGTAAAACACTAGCCAGTTGAGCAGCCTTCATGACTGAAGGTCCTGCCAT